ATATAAGTAATTTCTTCATGGGGCGTCAAATGTAATGTTTTTTTACGAAAAAAAAAATCTCAGAAGACATGCAGAGCCCATCTATCAAAAAGTTTTTTTTATTACACCATTAAAGCCTACATAATTGATTATTACCTCTGGGAATGAGGTGATCGCTGCCATGCTGTTTCTTAATGTTTTCATATTTATTTGCTCAACATATTACACTCTCTGTGGATAAAATCGTAGGGTGAAAAGCTTGTTTAGCTTTTCGCCCCGCGATTTTACTCGCATCTAAGTTGCAACGTCTAGACAGTGAAGACCCACGCTTATTATGATACCACATTATATGGAGATTTTAAGGTAGTCTAAGGCCTTTCGAACAGTAAAATCTACTCTAACAGTCTTTCTTTTCGTAAAAAAACACAAAAGCCGAAATAACAATTTTTATCGATCCCCTTTTAAGGGTTAATTAGATTTCGTAAAGTACTAAAATATGTAAATCAGTCAATAGTTTTGTTTTGAAGGGTTTCTCCACCACCTTGCAATTTAAAAAGCGATAACAATTTATTGTTAGATTTTCCTAAAAAATTAAAAAGCATATTTAATTTATCAATGCAAAAGTAACTGTCATTATTAAAGTTACTATATAGTCGTTGGATAATATTTCGCCATACAAATATGCAATCGTGCCGTAGAAGTTTACATCTTTTACGTGTTTGAATTTTTGAAAATCCTTTCTTTCTTTTAAACCCGTAAAGAGTGAATTGTAGTTCCAATCTCGCGCTTTACGTCCAGCGGTTTGGACTGTGCTTCTAAATATAATATAATTTACAACAAAATTCCAGAAAACATAAAATTTGACCTGCACAAAGTTCAAAAACTTTATTAAACAAAGTTTGTATGAAAATAGTTATTATAATGTTAAGGAATTTATGAATGATCCATGATAATGAGGTGATCGCTACCAAGCTATTTCTAATTTGTTTTGTGTTTATTTTCTGTGTAAACATACATGATTGTAATCAGTTGTTTAAAAAAAAAGAAAAGTCCCGCAGCATTTCTTGATGGTTCTTCCCAGGACAGAGGTTTTTTCCGAACCAGTGGTAATTAAACAAAAGAGTGACTTTCAATAAGTATTACTTATAATATATATTGAGTAAAAAAGTTTCTGCTTCTACTCATGCAAACGCCAAGTTTGTATCCAAGCTCGTTCTAAAAGATTTGTAAAAAATAGAAATGTACATTTTTTTAATTAAAGAATATTTGCAACAATTTTTGTATTAACACTATTAATTATTCTTATGAACAGCCTTTGCGGTTTGAAAACCTTTAAAGGATTGCAAAAATCGCAAAATACTATTTAATTTATTTTGTTTATGGAATTCCTTTGATATGTTTTGAGTCAATCGCCTCGTAAAGTAGAAAGTCGTTAAATTATTCAAAATCCTTTCCTGGTGTATGTGATTTCGGCAGATGTAAAACTATATATAACAAAATTCTCTATAAACTGATTTACCTATGCATTAGTTCAAGACACAGATAAAAAGCAGTCGTCAGTCGAGTAGATTATTTCAAATTAAACTTATAAATGCTTGGGCCATAGTAAGCTTATTTATGACTTCTTACTTTTCTATTCAATAAGGTAAAATTGCAACTGTTCTCTATACGTGGTGCAACCATGGTGCAGCAATATTATGGCTCTAGCACGAATAGATAGTCTCTACTGGAGAACTCGCTCACAGAATACCGGCGTAAAATAGCAGCTTAATACTGCTTATGATTCGTAAAGTAAGTGTAGAGCGTCGGAGATCCTTTTTACTGGAAAAGAGGCATTCCATCTTAGTCATCCAGGGTGAAAACGCATCTGCATTTCTTAATCGAGGGTATACCATATATTAAAAATATCTAATTGTGAGGTTTTTGTCCCTTCTTCCCACAACATCGTCCCACAATACAGACTTGTTGAAGCAATTGCATAGCTTTTACTTCCGTGATTTTTTTAGGCCAATTTTGTAAAAAAATAGTACCACAATCTAGTAATCTGTCTCGTTCATCATCATCATTACAGCCCTTCACAAGTCCAATACTGAACATAGGTCTCCCCCAAGTAATGCCACAAAGCACGGTCCTGAGGCACCTGCATCCATCGACTTCCTGCATGTCTTACCAGGTCGTCACTCCATCTAGTGGGGGGTCGCCTTACACTACGCCTACCGGTACGAGGCTGCCACTCGAGAACCTTTATTCCCCATCGGTTATCGGTTCTTCGAGCTACATAGCCGGCCCATTGCCACTTCAGCTTACTAATCCGTTGGGCTATGTCGGTCACTCTGGTTCTACTGCGGGCATGCTCATTTCTGAGTTTATCACGCAGAGAAACTCCGAGCATAGCCCTCTCCATAGCTCACTGAGCGACCTTGAGCGTCCTCACACGGCCAGCAGTGAAGGACCACGTCTCAGATCCGTCACGTTAGTCTATTATATTTACAAAAAATACTAATATTTATATGGCTTTCTTTTTATAAGCTTGAGCCATAATAAAACGGCAACTAAATATAAAATCAAAAAATTTACCTCAAAAATTTAAGACGCTCTTAAAAGCGAAAAATATTGTGTCTATGTCGATTAGAAAATTAAATTTTGTCCAAAAAGTTATTCGTTACTTTATCTTTGATTATACTCGTATAGCTGCAAATACCTGCAGTTTTTCCTGTGTCATATTTATTTTACTTACAGTTTTCCAAAGCCGACAAAGTTAACCAATGCTTTATGTGAGTCCGTACGGTATAGAAATCTCTTTTTTTATATAGGATAGGATGAAAAACGAGCACACAGCCCACCTGATGGTAAGTGGTGACTGTGGCCCATAGACATCTACATCTATCCTCGATTACCAGTCTCCAGTAAAAAGGGTCTCCGGTTCTCTACACTCACCATACGAAACACAGCAGCATTAAACTACTATTTGACGCTGGTATTCTGTGAGAGCGTGGTCCTTCCCCGGTCGAGCCGACCCATTCGTGCTACAACTATACTACTAATATAACTGCAACATGGCTCTACCACGTAAATATCTAAAGGTGTAATCTTCAACCTTCTCAGCTGATTGAAATTGTTATAGATGATAATATTGCTTGTATTAGTTGCAATTTCACTTGTAATTATGCAACCCGGCATAATTACAGGCTGAAGACAATCTATATTAGTCCTCAGAGCTTACGCATCTGTAGATTTCTTTGTTTGAAGTTCGAAGGTGTCCACGGGCTGCAGTATTCTTAGTGACTTCAGGTAAATTGTAAAGTTGTTGGTCACTTCACTTTTTAAAAAAAATTGGCAAGCATGAACACAAGCTAACAAATAAAACACTATACTTGATATATAACATACTTTTTTATTTTACCTTAAATAAAAGAAACACTAGCTTTTTAATAATCATTATTACATACTGTGTTCGTGTCAATAAATAAATATTAATAATAATTTTCAACATCGAACAAAATTTCGCTAGAATTTCTGAATAATTATAGGGTGCTTACGTCGTCAATTAGGCAACAAAGTGACAGTTTTCTGATACAGTGTCACCTCTCACAAACACAATTAAAATGTACCACGAGCTTACCCCCGCACATATATCGCCGAAGATAGCACCATTGCGCATTCTGGCAGCACGTCACGTATTAATGCTTGTATATAAACCAAGCCCTGAACTTCCCTGGCATACATTGTGACCGCTTATCGGACGGCAGTCGGACGCATCTGCCGTCATCAATTAATTAAATATATTGTGGACATTTAGTGCAAAATGAAGTTATTAGTGATTTTATCGCTCGCGGCTCTTGCCAGTGCTCATAATCCAGCTTCGAAGTTGGTAAAGAACATTTATAAAGAATGTTTGAGTCAGTATTCCGTGGAGTGTGTGAAACCGAGAACCCTGGAATGGATTTCCCAAGTGGCTAACGATGACGAGATCAAGATCACGGATAATCTTTCGATTGTCAAGATGGGAACCATTGAAGAAGATGGTGACGTCGACCCAAGGATGGCCAAAGACCCTGCTTACGCCATGTTCGATAAAGTAGACCGCTTTCTCCAAACTCATACCCTCAGAGTGAAAGTGCCTGATGAGATTCTTAACAGTGCTGCCTCCGAATATGTACCAAGGTCGCTTCTTACAGACTTGCCCTCTGAGTTGACCATGCCTTTAGATGGCGAAGAAGAGGTTGAGACTTTCGAAGGCAGAAAGAAGAAAATCAAGCTGCCCAAGCCTTTGAGGATCAAGAGCAGTACGTAACTGAATTAGCAAGCGCATAAAACTCAAAATTAATAATATATTGACATATTGTTTCTTTTTCAGAACACGGTTTCATTAAGAAGGTGGTGTTGCCTTTCCTTCTCGGTTTGAAGTTCAAGACAGCTGTCCTCGTGCCTTTGGCTCTTGCAATGATCGCTCTGAAGACTTGGAAGGCCCTCACTCTTGGTCTCATCTCCCTTGTTCTTTCCGGTAAGTAACAAGAATAAAAATCGAAACATCGATTCAAACATGATTTATTGTTTTAACATAGTTAAGGAACTTTTATTCTTAGAAATATTAACGACGACAAAATTTTCGACAGTTTAGACATGTACTGCTGTTTAAAATAATAGATATGCGAGTATTTCGGACATATACAACAAATATAATTTATTTACAGGTGCCATGGTCATTTTCAAATTCACGAAGCCTAAGGTTGTGAACTACGAAGTCATCCACTACCCTCAGCACCATGTTGAACATCATGTGGACCACCACGCTCCTGGCTGGGATTCTCATGGTCCTTATCAAGCCCGATCATACGAAGACGCTCACGAAATCGCCTACTCCGGCCAAATTTAAAACCAAAAAGTCATAATAATCTTTAAGTTATACGGACCTCTGATTAATTAATTAATTTAAATTATTTATTCTATTGTAAATAAAGACTCTATGATTTAAGTTTCAAATTCCATTCAAGATCATTTATTAGTATTTTTACCTTTTTCTACCTCCATACTAAGACACTTTTGTTGTTTGACGTGTTTGATTCTATATTACTTAAAAAGTCTGCTCGAACAAATTTAGATACAGTTTTTGTTTTGTACAATTGCTTCCTGCTTGAGCTATGTACTGCATAAATATTATATTTAGGCGTATCGGAGAGAGCGTTTTCATCTACATTATCTAAAACAACGTTCCCTTCGTTCTGAGTGATCTCATCTTCAATATCATAAGGCTTGATTTTGAAAAAGTCATTATTAAGTGAACTTTTAAATTTTCCGTGAGTGACGTTTTCAACATTTAATCTCTTATAGTTTTTTGTAGTTCCTTTTTGTGGATGTTGTATAATAGATTCTATTTGCCTCAATTTCATGCCCGTTTTCTTTTCTTTGAATCTTGTACTTTCGTTTGTATTAAAATTCATGACGACGCGCTTCGTGTCCGGTCTCTTTAAAAGTACTTGCTTAGAAAACGTTGTATATACTTTGGAACGCTTTAAAGGATTCATTTTGTAAATGTTGAGTAAGGCTTTAAAAGTGTTTTCTGCATGTCCCCTTTTTACTCTTTGATGAAAGATTACACGAGCTGATGTTGCCGTTATCTGCGAAATTTATTATTTTTTAAGTTAAAAACTTGAAAAATAGTACTAGTAGAAAAGTAAGAGACATTTATATATCGTTGGTAATACACGTAGATTATATTTACTTAAAACCACGTATACTAGACTCACAGCTTATATAGAAGGAGGTCAATAGATGGCCATTAAAAGTGAAAGAGATAATATACGCAGATTTTTTGCAGTCAAAAAACTTAAGATTTTATTCTGGAGTCAACTAATTTACGCGCATGTACTACTAGTGACCTCTATATACGAATATAGTCGATAGTCGTGTTGTATGGCTTCTCATAGACGGCGGTATAACTATCTCGTTTGCGTGTAAAAACTCTGTTCTGGTATTGAGTTCCTTGGTCCACTGGCCAAATGTAATGGTAAAGGTAACCTTCTTACGTCGGAAGAGCCCCAAATCTAGCAGTAGACGTTTACAGGCTGATGACAAAGAAGGGGAGAATAAGATGTGATAGACAATATGAAATAACAAGCGATAGAACAACTGAACAGATAGATACGACAGTATTTAAATGAGTTGACACAAAGTAATAAGGATTATGCTAACACATATCACTAGAAGATCTGATGGGACTCGAAAGAATAAGTTATAATGTAGCATTTCAACGTAATAACTATTAAAAAGGCAGTTGAGAAATTAATACCGCTACCTTTTGGCTACAAAAGATAAATTTAGACACAATTAATTTTAATTTACGCGATATCCGTGTTTACTACATAATAATCGCATTAATGATATGTACATATCAAAAATTAAAGACACTAACTATTTTGTTTTACCGTATTTGTTATAGGTAGGTACTTTAATCTAATGCAAAGAATTTCGCCTCATTACACATTTGCTCACGTATTAGTGAAATGAGGGTGTAAATATCCGTTTGGCTGTAAGGGAAATGAAGTCATTGTTTCTATTATCTCTCAGTCCAAAAATAGAAGTGAAACTCCATCTAATTAGACATCGAATACCATGGAAGTTAAGCGAAGGCTTGACCTGATGCTCGAGACACGTCTGAATATTGATGAACAATAAAACGGATCTGACGTGTTTGTAAGTATGAAAGATATAAACTTCCGACACTAGCTTAACTATTAATAGTTCAGGGAAATCTTGAACTTAAAAGTTGTAGGTTCAAATTCGTCAGGTGACTACTGTCGTGAATCACTCCTAACACAAGCACTTTAAGCTCCCATCCATATTAACTGGACTAATTCCAGCCGCACTATTTCACCATCGCACATCGTGACAAAACTCACGATATCCAATATACCATCTGGATGACTGGCGGTCCACCACCGTGCGATTTAAAAGAAGTTTTCTTCTTCGCACAACTTCCTTGTGGAATCGACTTCCACCAGAGATTTTTCCGGACCGATACGACTTAGGGACCTTCAGGAAAAGAACCTACTCCTTTTTAAAAGGCCGGCAACGCATCTGCAATTCCCCTGGTGTTGCAGTTGGTCGTGGGCGGCGGTAATCATTTACCATCAGATGAGCCGTGTGCTCGTTTGCCCCCTCTCCCATAAAATAAAAAAAATCTTTAACCATTTCCATCTATCCATAACCATATAGCCTATATAAAAGTCCACTGCTAAACTTAGGCCTCCCTCTAGATTGTCTTATAGGGGAGATTTTGTAACAATTGCTACACTTGCTTAGTTTTTCATTATATAGAGTTGTTATCAGGAAGATGTCGATGCCCATCTCATGTTTCTGTTTACCTTCGTCGCTACTTACGATACCCGTGGGACGATATGGTATAGTGGTACTTCTTATGGTGGCCACACACGGTCAGTTCAACTGATCAACTGTTAATATTTTTCAAAATATCGGATTTTCGATGTGTCTATAAATAAACTTATATGTTAAACTCCGATTAATATATTTATAACGATCGATATATCGAAAATCCACTATTTTAAAAAATATAAATAGTTTTAGTTTGAATTGATCAGTTGGAATGATCAATAGAACCGACTGTGTTGGCGACCAGTACACCGTGACTACACGATTTACTACTACTTATATTACGGCACTACTTGGAGTGATTAACACCGATATTAGTAATGTAAATTGCATTTAAAAAAAGTCTTTAATCAGTGTTTTAAAAAAGGAACACTACAATTTACCTCTTACTTTATAAGCGCACAAAATATAACTTGAGAATTATTTCACGCTAATATAAAGACAGTTGTTGTCATTATTGTGCATCCAATTTTAGATCCATTTGCCAGGTAATCTAAAAATATAATAATGATAATAATAATTATTTTATTTATTTTATATTTTATAATAGTTTGATCATAAATTACTTTTGAAATTACAATTTTTTTAAATGTCACCTGGACCATTACTGCTACATTAGTAGTCAAGTAGTAACAACGTCTTATTAAGAGAAGACAATTGAAATAGTGGCAAAACACTTGAAGTCGGGTTTTTGCTATTTATAAAGTAAGAAGTTGCAATTAAATTAAGACTTATATGTTGGTTAATAAGGTTGCGGCGTAAGAAAATGCACTACCTCGTATTATACCATGGGTGTCGTAAGAGGCGGCGGAGATAAATAAAACAGGAGACGGACAGCAGTATCTTCTTCTTCTTTTAAATTATGGCTTCTCAAGTCGACAGCACCATCTTCCTGATAACAACTCAAATTTAAAAAAAACTCCAGATGTCAACCCGCTTGCAAAGCGCGGCAATACTGGTAGACTCTGATAGATGGATGGCATCACGAATCCGCATGCCATCAACTCAGCGTAAATTATATCTTAAAATTATCTTACCAATATAGTGCTGATTATAATCACACCAACTAAGCGAGATTTCATTGTGTTTGAAAATTTTCTCCTTTGAAGCCATATCAAATGTTTAAATTATTAATGTCAACAATTCAGCATATCGCGGCGATATTTTTGAAACAGCTAATAATGGGTGCGTTTGGCAGAAAAAAGCGCTAGCAAGTACTTACTAGCGCTAAAATAGTTTTCGGCCAGGACACGATTGCTACTTCAGTAGCGCTGACACAATCCGCCATTTTGCTTATTTAATTTGTTTGTTTTGAAGTAGAGTTTATAAGTTGTTTTGTGCAATATTAGTTTTAAGTAATATAATGACATGAATAAACATATACATGCTATTAAAAACTCATGATTGGTAAGTTTTTAATATGAATACTTTACAAACATATATTTAAATTAGGTTAGATTCCCCGGTTAAAACTAACATCGTGTCCTGGAGGAAAATAGCTACTTACGATTTGACAGCGCTTACCGCTTACGATCGCCATTTTGCTTACAAGCGCTTGCTAGCGCTTTTTTCTGCCGAACGCACCCAATGCATTGGAGGATTGCATTAGACATAATTGTAAAACAGAAAGAATTTATAGGCAATTAGTAATGTTTGAGAGTGTGGCCCTTTATATTGACTGACTTGATCAAGCATGCGGAAAGTCTGTTAACTTAGATAATGGGCAGTTTACGTATGAGTGCCAACAGTAAAAAGCAGTAAGTACCATAGATTTAGCTCTATACATTAAAACACTGTGTTAAAGGCTGTCTGTTCTAACTATTAACTTCCCATTCGGTAGCTACTTGTATGTTCGGTTTCAGTTGAAAAGAAAATTATTCCAAATTTAATGACAACTCAGTTACTGATTATAAAATAACGCGTCGAATAATTTTAGATTGCAGCCGATATCATTTGGTCTAGTGATATACAAGACGGAAAAGTTACTAACACACAAATACGCACACGCAAGTATATTTCTCATAACATCTCTCGTTGTTGGGAAAATTCCCCTTAATCATCACGCTTCGTAGACGGACATAGGTACAAGATATAGATTATTACATTATATACATACGAGTATGTACACGTACTAAAGATTTGTGCTGGCGAAATCGGACTCATTACGACGGCTTCTCTAAGCTGCTTACGTAAGCTGAAGGTTATAAGCTGGCATTATAGCTCGTAGAGCATAAAACCGATGGAGACGAAAAGTTCTCGAAAGGCAGCTTCGTAATGGAAAGCGCAGTATTGGGTAAACCCCACTAGATGGAGCGACGATATGGTTAGAAATGGAGTAAGTCGATGGATTCGGGTGGTTCGGACCAGCATTTCTTGGGGAAGGTATATATATACCTTCCCTCTTAGCAGTGGACTTGGCCTGTGATAGATGGGATACTTGACGACAACATTAAAATGGAGAATTAATATACCTAGCTCGGTTACAGTGTTACATCTTCATAATGAAAAATTCCACACCAATTATTGATATTTCGTGTTTTCCCTGTCCTTGTACCTCTTACGGGAGATCCAACTTCTGTTGACGTAGATCTGTTGGTCTGTTTATGTTATGACGAAGAAGTTTTGATAACCACCAAAGATAGGTAGATGTATCAGAGCAAAAAATTAATAAAAAAATAACTTGCACAAAATATTAAGGAGTGTACTGAAGAATTAAGGCCCCGACTTTTATACGTGGTAGAGCTATTCTGCAATTATATTAGTAGTATAGTTGTAGCACGAATGGGTCGGCTCGACCGGGGAAGGACCACGCTCTCACAGAATACCAGCGTAAAATAGTAGCTAAATGCTGCTGTGTTTCGTATGGTGAGTGTAAAGAACCGGAGACCCTTTTTACTGGAAACGAAGCATTCCATCTTAGTCCTCAGGGCTGGCAACGCATTTGCATTTTGATTCGTGATCGAGTATAGATGTAGATGTCTATGGGCCACAGCAACCACTTACCATCAGGCGGACTGTGTGTTCGTTTGTCACCCTATCCTATAAAAAAAGTTCAGAATATGAAATTATTTTATTCTTATTTAGGTTTTTGAAGTCGACTTTTACTTAATATAAAAAAATTTATTTCTTACTCTTT